AACCAACAGACACCTTAGCCAGTTCATTTATCTCTTTGATCCGCTTGACCAGGTCATCACCAAACAATTTTGCTGAAATTGGCATATCAATGGAACACAAAGAGGTGTATTTTCCTTGTAATCTTGGCTGGATGAAATAACGTCGTCTCACCGACAATGAGTGCATAGTATGCCATAACATGATAATAGCATCAGACAACAACATCTTGCGCTGAACTCTCTGCGCCACCGGCAGATAAGCCATGAATGAGGCCAAACGCAGTGCAGGAATCATCCCAGCGGCCAACGTCTGCTGTAATTTCTGAAAACCCAAATCAGACTGCTGGACCCTTTTATGCAGCTCTGTCCAAATTTCCTCATTAACTTTGGGTGCCAAAAGCTTAAAATTGCAATTATTGGGACGAGAGTATTTATCAGTAAGTCTCTTCACCGAGTCCTCACTTATTCTTTTTATACATCCCAAATCCACAATAGAGGCTAAATTATTAGCTATAGCAAGTCCAGTTTTCACCTCTGAGTCGGCCTGTGGAATACTCCACACCTCCTCTAGATCTCCAGCGAGATTCTCAGCAAACGCTGAGGGATCAAAATAAGATGGCGCCTGAGAGCCATCCTGCTCTCCTGCACTTGCAGTGTCTGGCACCTCCCAGCTATCAGTATGGGCTGGATCAATTAAATCAGACAAATCCTCTGTATTAGGTCCTCTAACAGAACTATTAGTCTGAGAATTTCGTGCCAAAGCGACCGCGCTCGTCAGCGACGAGAACTGAGACATCAGCTGATTAAGTCCAAGCTGTGATTTCAACTCACTTATATTCAGATCAGCCTTGTGTTGCACGTTAACAACATCACTCTGTTTCTTAGACCGAACCGGCTGCCGTCGCCGGAAGTAGTTTGAAGCTAACACGGCTCCCTCTTTTACAAAGACTTAGCTTAGCTTTCTTTGTCTGCGCCACTTAGGTTGCGGACCACTGGAAGCCTGATGCTTTGGTCGGTCAATCTGACCAGACACAAGAGTACACTCACTCTGAGTTCGAAAAGGCGAAAAGCCCCAAAAACTACCTCCATTGCCGAATCTGATCCAAACAGATCAAGCACGTCCGCTCGAGCCGAGACGGACCGGCTTCACACTCATCATCACTCATGTCGAGACTACGTCTCCACCAATATCAATGAATCGCCCTCACCAAGCGTCATTGTAAAAGAAAGAGACAGCGTCTCAATCACATATCAAATACACCACTGCGTGGTGCCGTGACAACAATGCTTACCTCTCACTCTCCTCTCTCAAACGAAAAGTGACGGAGGCCAGGCTAGGGAGCCTACTTATGGGGTCACTAGGCATCATGGGTAATTGCCTCTTTGAATAAGAGACCTCGCTCTCACAATATCTCAAAAGATGTTGTTTACATCTCTGAGACGAAGGCGAACGTAAATGAAAAATTTTATATCTTATTATAATTCACATTAAAACTCTAGCAGCAGYATTTTGGATTAACTGAAGACTTCTTAAAGAGTTTTTTGGATGTCCAGAAAATAAAGAATTACAGTAATCCAGTCTAGACGTGATAAATACATGAATCAGTTTTTTCATGTCATTTTTGGACAAAATGCGCCCTGGGGGCCAGGACCTCTGTGCCGTTTCCTGGATCTGCTCTGGTGTGGCGGGTGCCGGTGGGTCCATGAGTTTGTTGCTGCTGGCCCCAGGATCTGTGCGTGTGGTTGCTGGGGTTTGGGTGGGGTGGGGGGTCTTCCTATGCGGGTGCCCCTTGGAACTCTGCGCTCGGGATCCCTCTCAGGTCCTTGGGCTCTGGTCTTCCCAACGTCCGCCTCGTGTCTTGGGGTTTGGGTCTTAGGTTATCCACAGTCACTATTAAATATTCCATTGGAGAAATCTTGTATATACACGCATGTTCACAACCGCTCACAAACAGGTGTTCTGACCCAGGGGGTTCTGACTGGTCATTGAGTGTGTATATTTATTCTGTGTATATATATCTACAATATGTATGAATGTAGGCATGTATGTATGTACAGTATATCTTTATATATGTACGGGTATGTGTACTGTATATACTGTATTTATGTATGCCATCCATGTATTTATCCATTTATTTTTAGGTGAGCGGACAGATGTTGGATGTGTGGTCCTGTGTTTTCTTGGTGTAAATTTAATATACTTCTAATCTCTATCTCAATCTTTCTAATTACCTTTCTCTTTGTTTTTCCCTCTTTATCTATTTTCTCTTTACTTAAAAAAATCACTGATGATGAAGAAATTAAGACACTAATATTAAGTTCTTTGTTCTACTGAAGAGATTAAAAAAAAAAAAAAGAACTGGAGGCCAGATTAATATCATCCAGAGAAAGTGAAAGGCTGCAAAGTTGATCCCTTAGATGTTCAGGTCCAAGAACCATAACCTCTGTCTTATCTGAGTTTAGAAGCAGAGAGTTAAGGGTCATCCATGTTTTTATGTCGTTAAGACATGCTTGTAGTTTAAGTAACTGGTTGGATTCATCGGGTTTCATGGATAAATATAACTGAGTATCATCAGCATAACAATGGAAATTTATCCCATGCTGTTTGATAACTTTTAACTTTCACTTTGAATCCAAATTAAGATGGTCTCCACAGCTAAGCATCATTAGTAAACTCTAAAATGGTTGTAACTCAGTTGATTCTAGATATTGAGCAAAATTTTGACATGCTATTAGCTGAGTCACATAGACTAAAGATAAACGTAAAGACTGAATGTTTTAGATTTATCTGATACAAATGTAAAAAAAGATTTTCTAATTACCATAAAATCATGATTTGTTTTCTGCCTAGTACATGTATTTTTGGAAAGTGTTAGCTGCATCTCTGTGACATTGTCATAACCAAACTGACAAAGAATAAATATGTCCTTTTCATCAAACAGATAAAACTCTCCCACTTCCCCTAGACAGATCTGTTAAAATGTCCTGACCTTCAGTGGTCATAATGACCACAACAAACAAACTGAACAAACAATGACAGTCAGGGTGCCTTTCTGTTTGAACTTTGAAACCAGAACAATGGTGAGTTTCCAAAAACGTTTGACAAAATGAGAGGCACTGAGTCAAAGAAAAGCAGAACCAAACACCCACATATATTGAATTACCTGCATTAATGAATTACAGAACTGTGCAAACATTTTAGGTGGGAATAAAAAAATCCTTTATAGTAAAATTGCTTTCTAATTTTTCCATTTTTAGCAGTTTAATATCTCCAGTTTAGAAATCTGCATTTCTGCAATGGAGAAGGTCAAAATTAATAGCATCAATTTTGAGAATTACAAGCAGATATGGATCAACATAATTCTGTAGAGGAGACATCGCATTGGCCCTAAATTTACACTGAAGCTAAACAGAATCATAAACAGAACACATACACGCACCAGCCACTTTATTAGGTACACCTTGCTAGTAGTGGGTTGGACCCCCTTTTGCCTTCAGAACTTCCTTAATCCTTCATGGCATTGATTCAACAAGGTACTGGAAACAGTCCTCAGAGAGTCTGGTCCATATTGACATGATAGCATCACGCAGCTGCTGCAGATTTGTCGGCTGCACATCCATGATGYGAATCTCCCGTTCCACCACATCCCAAAGATACTCTATTGGATTGAGATCTGGTGACTGTGGAGGCCATTCGAGTTCAGTGAACTCATTGTTGTGTTCAAGAAACCAGTCTGAGATGACTCACACTTTATGACATGAAGTGTTATCCAGCTGTAAGTAACCATCAGAAGATGGTACACTGTGGTCATGAAGGGATGGACATAATCAGCAACAATATTCAGGTAGTCTGTGGTGTTGACGCAATGCTCAGTTGGTACTAATGGGTCCAAAGTGTGCCAGGAAAATATCCCCCATACCATTGCACCACCAGCCTGAACCATTGATAGGATGGATCCATGCTTTCATGTTGTTGACRCCAAATTCTGACCCTACCATCAGAATGCTGAAGCAGAAATCGAAACTCATCAGACCAGGCAACGTTTTTCCAATCTTCTATTGTCCAGTTTTGGTGAGCCTGTGTGAATTGCAGCCTCAGTTTCCTGTTCTTAGCTGACAGGAGTGGCACCTGGTGTGGTCTTCTGCTGCTGTAGCTCATCTGCCTCAGTGTTCGACATGTTGTCTGTTCAGAGACGCTCTTCTGCATACCTTGGTTGTAATGAGTGGTTATTTGAGCTACTGTTACCATTCTATCAGCTCAGTGTTCATGTACTTTGTACTGTTAACTGATAAAAACCCCAAAAAATAAAAAAGTATTAAAAGTAAAAGCATTCTTATCTACATTTTTCTATACATAAAAAGCCCTGAATATCAAAGGAGGCTGGGATTACAAGAAGGGACAAGATCTAATTGAGAGTTCCTGTGAAAACATTCTTACTTTAAATAAATTCTAATACGCCAACCTAAACATTTGCACGGTTTTGTAGCCATGTTACAATATGAAAAGAAGTACATGAAAGTTTTCCTGTTTATATGACCTTTTAAATCAAATACCTCAGGTCAAAATGCAACCTTTCAATTGTACGTTTGCATGAATTGTACATTTCATCATTTTGAATGGGTTGTTTTGTTCAGTTTGACTTCTGTCTTACACAAAATGCATTCATTTTCTTATTACATACTTTTTCTTTTAAGTAATATTAAAAAAACATGGTTGGAAAAAATTGTGGATCAAGAAATTGGACAAACACTTTGGAACATGATGCACAAAGTTTGACCTGCATTAAAAAAAACAAGGTCAGGTGACCATAACTTGACATCATTAATCTTTGTTGATCAAACTAATTCTAAAAGCATTTCAGGATAAAAAGGCTAATAAGTTATCTATCAAATTAGGTGCAATAATCAAACATACAAAAGTCCACAGTATGCATCTGTTACGCAATACCTGGCTTTTGTCAGAACAGAGTTTTCCTTTAAAAGGCAGCTTGTGAACAGAGACTGCCACAACCTCCTCAGCCATGAAAGCGGTTGTGCTTGCCCTGGCTCTGGCCTTTGTGGGTAAGTCCAATAGTGCATTAAAAAAGTTTATTACTTAGAAAAAAATTAAAGTTATAGTATTTTTCAATCCTTAATTCTTATTCTTCATAATAAGTCCTTTTTCAACCTCTATTATATTGGTTTTACCAGTGTTGATCTCTCTTCAAAAAGAAAGATATGAATTTAAAATTTCATGCATTTTGGGAACTGATTACCTTTTCATTTCAATGACAACCATTTTATTTTTTTAATCTTATATAAAGTTATTGAAACAAAAGTAAGTTTGCTTTGCTGTGACTAAAACCAGACAACCATTGTTTATTTGTTGTGAATACTTGAATTGTTTCACTATATTTTAAATTAATATGAGCAAAACTATTTACATTATTTCTTTCTTTTTTTAAATTTTGGGGGTCTTAATACACTAGAACTCCGTTTTTACATGTATCTGTATTTCTTGTCATAGTTGTGTATGTTCCTGATGTCTTAAATTTTATTCTAATTTCACATGTTTGAGCTTTTCTTGAATTTAGTGTTTTATCTTTTGTACTTCTTGGAAAAATTAGTACTTTTAAAACATTTTACACACTTTAATACCTATTAAAGCTTTACATAAAATAAATATTTTCAGATATTGCTAACATAATCAATAAATATTTCCCTTTTTTCTATATTTTAGCCGCACAAAGTCCCAACGTTGGTAAGTTCAGAATTTGATATTTTAAAGGGCATTTAAATTTTTTTTAATGATAAAGTAAGCTACAATTTAAAGGAATTGACAGAGTTTTGCACATTTCATCATTCATGAATTAAATGTTATTACAAAACTTATTTGCCAAATTATATAACTGATCTATGTTGTACTTACAGCCCCTGAGTTTGCTGCCGGGAACACCTATGTGTACAAGTATGAAGCATTCATCCTGGGTGGACTCCCTGAGGAAGGCTTGGCAAGAGCTGGATTCAAAATCAACACCAAGGTTCTCCTCAGTGTCACAGCCAAGGATACCTGCATGCTGAAGGTAAAGACAAAAACCATGACCAACAGCAAATATTGTACTTCTGAGATACAAAATACGTTTGTTTTATTATTTCACATTTTATTTTTTAAATTATAGCTTGTGGAACCTGAGCTCTATGAGTACAGCGGTTATTGGCCAAAGGATCCAGCAGTGCCAGCAACCAAACTGAAGGCAGCTCTGGCACCTCAGCTCGTGATTCCCATCAAGTTTGAATACACCAACGGCGTTGTGGGAAAAATCTATGCTCCTGAGGAAATCTCAACTTTGGTGCTGAACATGCACAGAGGCATTCTGAATATGCTGCAGCTGAACATYAARAAGACCCATAAAGTCTATGATCTGCAGGAGGTTTGGCAATAATCCCTCTGTAGCCTATTTGTTGAAAATCAATTACAAGTGGTGCAAACTTTCAGCTAATCTGCTGCTGTTATCCACAGGCCAGTACTCAGGGTGTGTGCAAGACACTCTACTCGATCGGTGAAGATGCACGAATTGAAAACATCCTTTTGACCAAGACCAGGGACATGAACAACTGTCAAGAAAGGATCATGAAGGACATTGGGTTGGCATACACTGAGGAATGTGACGAATGCGAGGAAGTAAGTTCAAACTTATCACATGCCCTAGCATACATCCATGAAACCAAAACATTGCATGACAATGAGATTTCATCTCACAGGAATACAAAAGYCTGAGAGGTACCACAACATTCAGTTACGTCTTGAAGCCAGTTGAGAGTGGTGTGATGATCCTGAAGGCAGAGGTTGATGAGCTGATCCAGTTTTCACCTTTCTCTGAGGAAAATGGAGCTGCTCAGATGAAGACCAAGTRAGCCTAAACTTATGAGTAATGTTTAGARCTATAACAAATCAAGCTGCAATTAAATCTTTCTTCACTTTATCTCAAAGGCAGTCCTTGGAGTTCCTTGAGATCGAGAAAGCCCCGATTCAAGAAATTAAGGCCGAGTACCATCATCGYGGATCTCTCAAGTACGAGTTCTCCACTGARGTTCTCCAGACACCCCTTCAGCTCTTCAAGATCACCAACCCTAAGACACAGGTATTAATTTATATTGCCTGAAGAGGTAAGAAGGAAGTTAGGTGTCTTCTGCTTTGAAATGTTGCAGCTTTTTTATTCTTTGCTTATAGATCATGGAAATTCTGAACCACCTGGATGACCATGATACGAAGTTGGTCCATGAGCATGCCCCTTTGAAGTTTTTGGAATTGATCCAACTTCTCCGTGTAGCTCACAGTGAGGACCTGGAAATGTACTGGAAGCAGTTCAGAAAAATGCCAGTTCACAGGTGGAGCTCAGTGACTGAACATTTGAACACTTTTTAAATACTGAAACGAGATCAACTTCTTCACTTAATCCTAATCCTTTTATTTTTCTCAGACGCTGGTTCTTGGATGCCATCCCCGCGACTGCAACTCCYGCTGCTCTAAAGTTCATCAGAGATAAATTCGTGGCTGAGGAGATTGAGGTTTCTGAGGCAGTTCAGGCTTTGGTTTCAGCCGTTCACATGGTCTCAGCAGATGAYGAGACTATCAAGATCTTTGAGGTTGGTAAACAACAAACTAATCAACTTAATTATTATGTATGACAAACTGAGTAAAWAATTGATAATGTTTGCACCTCTCTAGACCCTGTTGGCCAACAACAAAGTAGAGGAAAACCCAGTTCTGCGTGAAATTGTCTTCCTTGGCTACGGTACAATGATTTATAAGAACTGCTCTGAGATATCCAACTGTCCTGCTGAATACATAAAGGTAACTTAAGATTATAAATGTCATTTTTATTATTCTGTGAAGCAAAAACAATGAACAGATATGAACATGCAGATTTTCCTCCCTCTCACAGCCCATCCAAGTGCGTCTTGCTGAAGCTATTTCTAAGAATGAGATCGAGGACATCGTCCTGCTCTTGAAGGTCTTGGGAAATGCTGGACATCCTGCTAGCTTCAAGTCAATCACAAAGATTATGCCCATTCATGGTACCGCTGCTGCATCACTGCCAATRAGAGTCCATAGTGAAGCCATCATGGCCCTGAGGAACATTGCAAAAGAAGAGCCCAGACTGGTAAGATCYCAAMATTCAACATCTGAAMGTGTTTAAGTCTGTTCACAAAAATCCACAATGACTTTTGTTTTCTTCTATGAATTAGGTTCAGGAAATGGTCCTTCAGCTCTACATGGACAAAGCTCTGCACCCAGAGCTCCGTATGCTTTCTTGCATTGTTCTGTTCGAGACAAACCCTTCCATGGGATTGGTGATTACCGTTGCCAACTCAGTGAAAAGAGAGGAGAACCTGCAGGTTGCCAGCTTCACTGCCTCTCACATRAAATCTCTAAGCAGGACCCCAGCCACCAGCCATCCATCAGTGTAAGTCAACTTTTGTGTCCCAGTTTCTCAAGTCAATATGCATTCACTCAAAAACATTAAGTAATCTCTTTTATTCTTCATTACAGTTCTGCTGCTTGCAGTGTTGCCATGAAAATTTTGGGTTCAAAGCTGGATAGACTGAGCTACCGTTTCAGCAGGGTTGTCCATGCGGAAATCTACAACAGTACGACTTAAAAATAAAATTAGTTTTACTTTTGCCAATCTGTGCTGCAACACAAACTGAGTCATTTACATCTTTTTCAGACTCCTTGATGCTGGGTGCTGCTGCTACTGCATTTTACATCAACGATGCCGCCTCTSTTATGCCAAAATCTGTTGTTGCCAAGGCCAGAGCCTTCATTGCTGGAGCTACTGCTGATGTGATAGAGGTACAGGAAAATTAATATTATATAGCTGAATARCTAATTTTAAAAGTGAAAATTTGACATTTATGCTTTCTTTTTCATAGATTGGAGTGAAAACTGATGGACTTCAGGAGGCTATTCTTAAAAACCCTGAACTGTCTGAAAATGTTGACAGGATCACCAAAATGAAGCGTGTCATCAAAGCTGTAAGCAACAAAGTCACTAATAAATACTACTTAATACACAGTACCATATAATGAAATGAGAACATTTTCTCTTTTCACAGATGTCTGAGTGGAGGTCTCTGCCCACCASAAAACCTCTGGTTTCCTTTAACATCAAGTTATTTGGACAAGAGATTTGCTTTGCTGACATTGACAAAACCATGATCGATCAGGCTATTAAGGTATGATGCAGAATAAACCATCAMGCACAAGACCAAGGTTTTCAAGACTTTATATTGACGGTGTCTRTTTTCCCCTACAGTATGCCAAARCATTACCTATTCAGGAATATGGAAGAGATGTTCTCAAGMCTCTGCTTCTGTCTGGTATTGATATCCAATATGCTAAACCTTGGTTGGCTRCTGAARTGAGACGCATCTTCCCCACTGCTGCTGGTCTGCCAATGGAGCTCAGTCTATACAGTGCTGCTGTGGCTGGAGCTGATATTAAGAGTGAGTAAAYTTTACCAGTGTCACCTAAAACCATATCCACTTTTWGTAGATTTACAAAGTRGTAATTCCTKACCTCATTTGTTGTCTTAGTCAAGTCCACCACATCACCACGTCTGCCTGAAGACTTCCCCCTCCGCAAGCTTTTGGAAACTGATATTGAGCTAGAGGCTGAGATCAAACCAAGGTAAATTTATTGGCTAATACTAAGTGTTTCTCACTAAGTATCCCATGTCATAAAAATTATGTCAATCCAATATGTTTCTCTCTTTAGTGTTGCTATGAACACATATGCCATCATGGGGATTAACACCGCCATTCTGCAGGCTGCTGTGGTWTCAAGAGTTAAACTCCACTCCGTTGTCCCAACCAAGTTTGCTGCAAGACTCAATATCAAAGAGGGCGACTTTAAGATTGAAGCACTTCCTGTACATGTGCCTGAAAACATTACATCTGTGAAGTAAACCTAACTTTTGTTTGCACTTTTGATTAAAATATATATGTAACTTTTTGTGTTTATCATTAAAACTTGTCTGACTAACTTTATTTTCTTGAACAGTGTTACAACTTTTGCTGTGGCAAGAAATATTGAGGAGCCCACTGTTGAGAGACTCACTCCAATCCTCCCTACTAAAGTCTGGCGTTCCACCGCAAGAGAGATCGTCTCATCTACCATGGATTCATTGGCTGATGATAGCATGGTACTTTTATACACTATTTAAAAACCCACAAATGTATCTGTGATTCACATATAATTACATTTATTTCTCCTCATAGACCGAATCCTCCGAGGTCCATCTGCTGGATGATGAAGTCGACGACCCTATTTACGAACACAAGATTCGTTCATTTGCAAAGAGGTACTGTGCCAAGTACAAGAGTGTTGGACTGAAGGCGTGCCTCAAGGTTGCCACTAAAACTGGAGAGTCCATCGAGGACATTGTCCTGTACAAACTGGCTGGAAGCCACAATTTCTCTTTCTCTGTATTACCAAGTAAGCACTGAAAAAAACAACACTTCTCAGCATTTTGAAGAAACACTGTGCACACATTAAAGATATTATTTTTTCATCCTTTCAGTTGAAGAAGAAGCTGTTGAGAGACTGGAGATGGAGGTTAGGTTTGGACCAAAGGCTGCAGAGAAGCTCATTAAACGGATCAATCTGGATGAAGATGATGAAGAGGAAGTAGAACCAGTCCTGATGAAGCTCAACAAAATCCTGTATACCAGACGTGACAACTCATCTTCCTCATCCTCCTCATCCTCCTC